GCTAGTTCATTGCCAGAGGGCACAAAACCATGGAGGAAATGCTTGGAGCATGTGCCATTGAACACACTGCATGTCTTTCTTTTCCCTGATATTTTATGTAGAGATGTTTGCCGGTGTCAGGCTGTTAGTGGGAGATTGGAACCTCCTTTTGCCCTCTTTTGAGCACATAGGGGGTATGAGTGTGGGTGCACAAATGTGTTTGTATTCGAGTGTAAGCATTTGTACTTGTGTGTGCACTTATGAAGGCCAGGGTTCACCACAGCTCTCCTTTCGGTGTTCTCCTCCTTTGGTTTTTGATGTGAGGTTTCTCTGAACCTAGAATTCATCAACTCAGCTAAGCTGGCTAGCCAGAAAGGTCCACAGACCTGCCTTTCTCCGTACCACAAATTTCCCAGATCTGGGGTATTTGCACTGCCATAGCTGGGCTCTTATGTAGGTTTTGGGGCTCTGAACTCAGGTTCTCATGTTTGTACAGTAGGCATTTAGAGCCGGCTTCCCAGCGTCACAGAATGTTATAGACTGCTTCCTGTAGGCACATTGGAGAACATTGCTGCAAACAAAGAAAGATTAAAAATGTGATCTCTACTGCAAAAAACAGTTTTGAGTGTGAACAACTGAACCAATGAGTCAGATAACACATACAGCCTTTGTTGAGGGCTTCTTAATTTCCTGGGGGAAGTTATCACTTAAAATGGGAACTATGAAAGTGTCTGTGTTTGTATCAAGATGGACTCATATGCGAAAGGTTCCAGAATTTTTGACAAATCAATCACACAGTTAAAGGTCACATATTTATAGCTGATTCAAACCCCAAGATGAATTGAGATGTCAAAATCTCAAGCATATTGGGTGTTTACACATGAATAAGCAAGATGGCAGACATTGTTTTCAAGTAGACTTTTTTTTTCGCATTTGTATGTTTTGGGTTCAGCTTGCAATTTCCATATAACATTTTTTTCATGTTTACATTAGCATGTAATTAGCATATATATAATTCCATGGTGGGTTATATAAATGCCTATGCTCCCCAAGAGGAAAAATATCTGTGGGTTTTTATTTCGTTTACTAAAATATTTCTAAACTATGTTGGTATTGGGGGAATAATTGTATTTTTCTTTTTAATTAGAATTAATAGTTTAAGTGATGCAGCAGCCTATGAAGTTCGACTTTTAAATTAAAGAACTTCATGTTTCAGGGAAAGTATTTAGTTTCTGGATTTGTAGGGACGAAGTTGAATATTAATGTTAATTTCTCCTTTACTGCATTTGGTCCTTGCAGTACTATAGTTACTTTTTAGCTAGAGAGTATTTGGGGAACATATTTTAATAAAGTTTACCAATTTTATTTTTTTAATGCTGTGTATATATGAGAGAGAAAGTGTGTGTGTGTGTGTATGTGTGTTGAAAAAAAAGAGAAGTATCATTTCACTGGACACCTCATCTTTCACCTAATAGGATAAAAAATAGTGAATGAAGCTATGTTGTGTGTGTATGTGTGTGTGTGTATTTGTTTGTTCAAAGGCCTATAGATCACATATACCACATGGTATTTACAACTCATTTTGGTTATCTCATTTCAGTTGATCATCAATGCTATGAATCAATACTGGTGGAATGAACACATGATTTTTTTAATAACTGCTGTGGATGCAGAGTAGGACCAGCTCTGACTGCTCCATAGGGGAGTTGTTTGTAGTGCATGGGATGGTTGGCAAATGAAATGGTGGTGGTTCTTGAACTGGATATGGAAAAAGGTAGCCCTCATGACTTCTGTATCACTGAGTATTTTCTTTCTCAAGTTGTAATTTTATTGTAATGGGGTTTTGTGCTGGTACTGTGTTTTTCATATCTCTACATATGTAATCACATTTCTACCTAGAGAACCCTAGAAACAGTTGAATCATGAAAAAAGTGACTTGGGCACCTTGCACACCCATGCTATTTAGAATCTTCCACTGGGCCTGTTTAGGTATAATTGTACTTGTCTGTCATACCACTGTGCTGTGATTTAACTAAAATAGAGACAATTATCAGTTCAAGTTCCAATCCCTGACACAGGATTTGTTGTAACAAAACATGGCAAGTTTTCAATAAATGCAAGTTGAACAAAGGAAACATTGGATGAGAAATGTAATGCTGGGGATTTCTCTTGCTCACGTGTTTGTGTGTGTGTGTGTGTGTGTGTGTGTGTGTGTGCGTGCGTGTGTGTGCATGCATGCACGCATGCATGCATTCACACTCATGCATGAGCGGCATGCAAGTAAGCTCAGGTAAGAACAGAATTGGCAGACTTGTCAGAGAGCTTGTGTATTACCAGTGAGCAGAACTCTGAAGTAACAATACAGATTGTTGAGTTTTAATTTTGTTGTTACCTCCAAGGTGTTGTGCCTCACTGTGAAAAAATAATTTATCAACCTCGAGCCTGTGCGTTTTTCAGGTTCAAAATTAATCTGTCCCATATAATTGTTATGATCCAGAGCAGTGGCTCTCAGCCTGTGAGCCGTCCGCCCTTTGGCAAACTTCTATCTCCAAAAATATTTACATTATGATTCATAACAGTAGTAATGTTACAGTTATAAAGTAGCAATGAAAATAATTGTATAGTTGGGAGTCACCGTAGGTTGAGAAACTGTATCAAAGGGCTGCATCCTTAGAAAGGCTGAGAGCCACTGCTCCTGAGTGATATTTCCTCCTTTATCCTAGGAGTTCTTGAAACCTTCTGTAGCCCTGTAATGTTTACGTACACAAGAAGGATAGATTTAAACTATTTCATGGTGCTTTTCAACTTTTTTTTCTACAAATTTTGCTGTGTACAGCTGCACTCTTGGTGCTGGGTAAACCAGTCTCTATTGCTTAAAGAGTAAGGCAAGTGCCATCTAGATTCTACAACGAATGTGTTCTTGAATTTGGCTGAGAAGTTTTTATAAAAGGATTTTAAGGTCAGAAGTGATGGCTCAGATGTATTGGTCTTGTGCTGTTTTTCCAAAGGACCTGACAGGTTTCCAGCACCCATGTTAAGAGGGTCACAACCACCTGTAACTCCATCTCCGGGGTGTCTTCTGGCCTCCGTGGGCACTACACATTCCAAACACACACACACACACACACACACACACACACACACACACACACACACGTAAATAAATATGCTCTAAAAATAGGATCTTTGGAGCCTGGAGAAGTTCTTAGCAGTTAAAAGCAGTTGCTGCTCTTCCAAAGGCCCCAGGTTAAATCCCCAGCCCTCTCATGGCAGCTCACGACCATCTGTAACTACAGTTCCATGGGATATGATACCTTCTTCTGGCCTTCAAGGACAGTAGACATGCATGTGTTACACATATATATACATGAAAGCAAAAACATGCACACATAAAGCAGACAAACTAGAGAAGAAAGTCTGAAGAGTTCCTAACACGTAGACCTTTGCGGTGAAGATTGCGGCAGAAGATCCAAGCAGAGGAAGCTTTCCCTTCTTTCCACTATGGAACTTGGCAGAAATACTTTTAATGGTTCTCTAAGGCACATTGGAACAGGCCATAGAGGTTCCTGTTAAGACAAACTTAAGAGGGGACTGTTAAGACAAACCCACTCTCTGAGTAAATGATTTGGCTGTTAGCTTGGTGCTTCTGTGGAACTCCTTGGAACTTTCTTGGAGCGGGTGTGTCTCTTACTCTTTTGCCCGCACATGGGATTCTTTTGCTTCTGTCGGGTGGCCTTGTCCAGCACTGCTGTGAAAGTTTTGGCCTTGTCTTATCGAAACTTTTGTTTTTTGTCACGTTCGCATACTCCTTTCTGAAGGGAATCAGAGCGGGAGTGGGTCTAGGGTGAGAGGGGAGTGTAGGGGGAGGCAGGGAGGAGTGGAGGGAAGGGAAACTGTGGTCGAGATGTATTGTAGGAGAGAAGAATCTCTTTGTTTGTTTGTTTGTTTGTTTGTTTGTTTCAAGACATGATTTCATTGTGTAACTTTTGTTGTCCTAGTTCTGCCAACTAGGCTGGCCTCAAACTCACAGAGATCCGTCTGCCTCTACCTCCCAAGTGCTGGGATTAAAGGTGTGCACCGCCACCACCACAGGCTGAAGAATTAATTTTCAACAAGAAAACAAACAAACAAACAAACAAAAGCCCACTCTCTTCACCTTTTCCCCAGTAGCTTCATGTCTCCGAATCAACCCAGATGTCTTGTTGGAGCGAGAGAGCATCAGATGAGGATGTAAAGAAGATCCGCACACATTGTATGCAGGACTCAGTAGCAAAAGCCAAAGCAAGGGGATCTGAAGCAGATAGTACAGGGTGCCACTCTCAAACTGAGGCCTTCTTCGTGTTAGTAAGAGCTAAGGGGAGGAGTGTAGTCAGCTGAGGAGATGGGCAGACACCGTGTTCCTGTTCCCTGCTGAGTGAACTGTTGCAGACACCGTGGAAACAGATTCAGTGAAGGCCCAGGCCGCTGTCAAAGGCACAATGAGTTATGTCTTACACCAAGTGTGGCTGCCCACCCAGGAGGGGCAGGGTTGGCCTCAGATGCCTCTCTCTTCCTCACGGAACACTGTGCACTTCCTCTTGAGCTGGTGCCAGGAGAGCATCAAGGCACAGGAGCAGGCAGAGCATAGCCTCCAAACAAACCCGGACCTACAACTGACTTCAGGTTTACCGTTATCTGTTGCACCTGAGTTTTAAGAAGCACGCACACAGTTTTTATTTCCTTTTATATCTTTACCACCATGTGAGAACGAAGAGTTTTGAGCAACGTGAAGTCAATTATGTAATGGGAAAAACAATAAAAAAAATACTTCTTGCACATCTGTGTTATAATGAGGACATTTCAAATTGAACCCACGAGTCTGGCTTCCTGTTTGTTTATAACTTACATATGTATAGTGTTCTCATTTATAATTTATGTATTTGGAATGTTTTATGGCGTGCACGCGGTGCTCACTGCGCCTTCTCCTCTCTCCTCCTGCATCACAGCAAAGTAACACCAACACCTTCATGTTTATGTTTCAGGTGAATAATGGGCAGCCCCGACTGAGAGCAGGTAGCCGAGTGGAGAAAGGAAAAAGACCAGCACAGAGTTCAGATCTTCCTCCCGTGCTCAGGAATGGCCACCAACGCCACTGCATGGGGCCTCCCCTTGTTTGCTTCTGGAAACCACATGTGTACTCCGTAAGGGTTTGGCTGGGGTGGTTAGTTCCTCTTGCACATTGTTTTTGTAGAACCTAAAGAAATGCTACTTTCAAGGTTTATCAAGGATGTGTTTCAAATAAAAATGTCCTCCTCACATTTAGCATGCAATTGAGTCTTGCAGTTTCTTTAGTCAAAACTCTTTTTATTGATCAGTTTTACCCTGATGACTTCATCTAGAGTATTTTGGTCATCCTCCCCTTCCTCCACACACACTTATCTACTTTCCAGCCCTGACATCCTTCCACCTCCCTGTTTCACATATTCATGGCTTTTTGTTTTCGGAACCATTGATTTTAACCGGGGCCATCTGCCTTACCACGGCTTTGGAATTATCCACTGGAGCTTGGTTGACTGCAAATAAAGATAGTGGTTTTTCCTTCCCCCAAATCCACCATATCCTCCTCAGCCCCCTCCCCAGTCCATGACTGACTGTTGGGAAGCCCAGTCTTGTGCAAGTCCGTGCAGGCACCCGCAGTTGCTGGTAGATCATATCTTGGAGGTAGCAGCATTTTGTAACCCTTTGCCCTGTCTTCCATGTCCACTTTGATTACATTCTCTGAGTCCTAGATGGGGTAGGACAAATGTTCTGTCAACCTGTCTGGGCAATAGTATATGAGTTCACTTAGATGAAACAGAAACAAAAACAATAAGAAACTTGTCCTACGCACTGCACATGCTACAGAAAATACAGAGAACAACAACGACCTGTATAAACTCACGGTCATTGTTCTGTGCTAGTGTCAGTAGGTGTATCTATTCCAAAGCATTTGTGTCACTGTTAAAATCTAGTCTTATTTGTATATGGTGAATTTGGCCAAATAGTCGACAAATTAATTTTTAAAAAAATCAGGATATAAAGAACATAAAAGTACTCTGTAAGACAGTTGCAAACCATTTATGGGTATCAGTGTATAGCAAAACAGAAGAGACCATCTAATCTCTTTGGCTACTCATTCATATGTAACATTGCAGGGGGTTACGGCTTGTAGTTTCCACCTAGAATCCTTTGAGAGCTAGGATGTGTGTCTTTGCTGCTGTATCATATTCATTTAAGCACAATTAGCAATCAATACATGTCTGTAATTGAGGTCATAGATAGATGGATGTTGTTATAATTGGGAAATAGATGGAATACTATGTTTCAGGGTTTCCCTTTTTATGTGTTTGCATAACTATATGTTACCTTCAATGTAAGCTTTTTATCCACAATATTAAGTCTAATTGAGTTAAGCTACTAGGCATGGTAGTGGGAAGAAACCTGTTAGATTATCTTAAGTAGCATTTTCTGTTGCTGCTGTGTTCTTTAACTAGCCAGTTGTTGTGAATAACCCAGTGCGTGTGCTTTGAGTGGTGCATAGCAGAGGAAGTTTCTCCACTTTGTTTAGGAATCTTTTCCCCCATCATGCTTCAGTGGACCATACAGAGTCTCCGCCACTCACACAACTCTCTAAGAGATCTCCTTCAGGGTGTTGAGAGTAGATTGGTCTTTTATAGGAAATTCATTTTCAGAGTCAGACTAAACCACCAGTAGAGTACTGTACTTTTGATTCCTAAATTGTTCCGCAGTTCTTTTCATGCTTGTATGATTGGGGTCTTGGCACTCAGTTCTTCTAGCCCATATCCACTAATTTTCAGTAACAAAAGGGTATACAATGAATAAGCCCATATATTTGTGTTCCTGCCACGGCTAGCCTTTTTATTGTGTCCTTTAGATTGGTCATCATTGGACACTGACATTGCATTTTTTGTCACATTTTCAAATAAATTATATCCGCTGACCTGTCATGTTAGAAAAATGACTGCAGCATATGTACTTTTTAAAATGATTTCTTGAAGTCCTTGGAAGTTGGCTCTATTTGGTGAGGTGCTGCCTCACAATCATGAGTACCTGAGTTCAGATCATGGACTTCTACCTAAAAGTGAGGGTCCTTTGTGTGAGTCTTTAATCCAGTGCTGAATGGGTGCAGACATGCAGATCCCCAGAACTAGGTGGGCCAGACCTAAGAAAGCAATAAACTCCAGGTTCAATAATACCTTGTCTAAAGAAATAGGGTGGAAAGCAATCATTGAAGACACTTGGCATTGACCTCTGGCCTCTATACACATGTGGACATGTCTACACATACATATACACACACACATAACACACAACACACACATAGGGTGGGGGAAATTATTTCTTGATTATTTCTTGGAGGTATTTGTTGTTATATTGGGAGAACATTTCTCCTGATGAGAAGCCCAACTGATTGACGAGTTTTCCAAATTGTTTGTTCACTAACTGCATATCCTTGGCATTGACAGCTCTTTTTTTTTTACCAATAATTATGGCATGATACAATCTATATTGAAAAATATCTTTACCATTGTTTAATAATTCAGAAAGTTCCTGTAGTTCACATGGATTAATGTTTCTAGTCAACTTAAGACTGAAGCTCTGTAATATAACTCGTTCCTGGGACAATGAACTAGGAGACTTGAAGACCTTGTGAAAAAGAACACAGGACAGACAGTAAGCCATGTGCTTGGAGTGAATGCTTTCTGAAGGCATTGTTAGGACAATTTTTTTATTCTTTTTATATATTGTATGTCTCACATTTGATTAATTTTTTTCTCTGATTCCTTTATTTCCACTTTGTTTTTGCATTGTTGACATTTTTCCTTCTTTTTTTTTTTTGATGCCAAATGGATGGTATTAACTAGACCTTAACTAGAGACATCATTATGCTCTGAACTATTTGATTGGAGTAGCCTTTAAATCATTTTTCATTTGGATCTAAAAAGTAATATTTACTGATAAAACTTCTCTGATTTATACCATTTTTAAAAAGAATTGTGGACACATCCAATCTTGGCAAACTGTGTTCTCTAATGAGGAAGTGACTGTCCTTTTCTGTGTCATTTCCTAGCACTGAAACCTTGTTTACACCGAGCTCCTTTGTTAAGGATTCAAAATAAAGGCCTTTGATATTGGGGAGTCTGAACTTGACTCATTATTAGTGGACATTGTATGTCTGGCTGGCAGCTTTTCCGTAAGTGGTAAGATTAGCCTCGTACTATTTCACAACCTTCCCCAATCCTTGTACGTCAGTGAGACTCAAAGAACTCCTCAGAGTGAAAAACAAAAGCTGGCCTTGGAGGAGTCAGATGAGCAATCCTGAAGCAAGTCAGGGTGACATTGAACTTAGAGTCAGCGATGGTCAGTGCTCATCTGTGGTTGTTTGGGAGAAATTATCTTTTGGCAAAAATATTCTTCAAATTTTATCTTTGCTGTAGGGAATCGCTGTCTATGATTTGATTTCTCTCCTTGCTGGAGCATTTGGAAACAAGTTGGGACCGCTCTAATTTAGTAGAGAAGGCACCTGGTGGTGAGGTAAAAGGCCTCTCCAGGGGACCCCCCAGAAAGACCGATTATCTCATCTCCGAGGTGGAAATAACTGTGCTTCACATGGTTGATGTAAATGGTAACGCGTGGAAAACACCATGATGGAGAATAAATTCCAAAGCCGATGAAAGGGTCTTCTGTTCTTTGGTGTTTAAAAAAGATTTATTTCATTTACACGTACGTGTTTCTCTATGCCATTCTGTCTAGGAGCCTGTACAGACCAGAAGAGGACAGGGCATGAAATTCTAGGGAGTTTCAGTCAGCAGTTAACTGCTCAGAATGGATGCTGGGAACCAAAGCCAGGGTCTCTGGAACTGCTCTTAAACACTGAGCCCTCTCTCTTTCCCATGGCTTCTGTTCTTAGGGGCCAGAAGAGTTTGCTTTCTATCATTTGTGAGGCTATCAAAGTGGTGGTGGTAATATTTTCAGAATTTACCGTATTATGATCTTAAAGGAATGATGGTGAGATTTGGCCAACATGATACTTTTCAACATTGCTTGGCCTCTGTTAAGTCATGCTATATAGAAAATCTTTCTTCCTTGACTGTGGAAATAAAAATGGACAGAATTTGAGTGCCCTGGCACTCCCCCAGCGTGTCCTGGTCATTGTGCTCCTAGTGAGTTGCGTTTTCCAGCTGTTCCTATCACTCATCCTGTGTTCATTCTTCCCTTCTCTGAGTGGGAGCAACAATGAGTGGGGATTTCCTTAGGTTCCACTCTGATTTTGATGGACACACACACCTTTCTCCATAAAGAGGCAAGTGTCTGTGTAAGAGAAAAAAAAGAAGAAACTTTATTTTAAAACCTGGAGATGGGTACATCCATGTAGAACACTATAAATACAATGTAACATTGGAAGGAAAATGATAGTAGGACTCAAGAGCACCTTCCTAACAGGAGTGTTTTCCACCAAAGGCTCATTTGGTGAAAGTGAAGCAGCAGCCTTCGGTTGCCTTGCCAGGGCTCCATCTATCATTCTGAGTTACTTCCAAGCCAGTTTTGCTACCAGAGCATAACTTTCCAGTCCTTCTTTGTGATCTAATGCCTTCACCTCAAAAATTCTGCTGGTGAACATCAAACAGGCGGGAACTATTGTGAGAAGAGATCCTTCTTTTGAAAATTACTATCATTAAGGTATATGCCATAGGGACTCAAGGGTGACAAAGATCCGAGAAATGATTTTGTTCATTAATACAGAGTTATTTATCTGAGCAGTGACAGCATATCACGGTCTATATGGTATGAAGTAGAGATGTAGAGATGTAATTAGATGGCATTGACAGCCCCGTTGTAATTATGTAAATAACACCTAGTTTCACTCTGCCTTCATCTCTAGTCTCCACGTGTATTAAGAGGGTTCTGGAAAACAAATGGCTGCTTGCCCCGAGTGTTTGGTTATTTGTTTGTGGCTAGGACAGTCTCCTGAAGCTTACATTTCCCTGAGTTACGGTTTCCTCCTTCATCCCATGGGTGTCACAGAGGGAAAATGCAAATCTGTGCAGCTTGTGGCATGAATCCCAAGGTAACTTTGAATGCATCCCGGTGCATTAGTAGATGACAAGGATATATCTCAATGGCTCCTGGGAGGAGCTTGGTGATACGGCCTGTCTAGGAAGACTGCAGCCCCCTGGGAGTCCCTGTTTGAGCTCTTCTTCAGACCTTGGTGTTTCGGCTGTGCTTGATTATCATCCATACGTTCTTCCCTGCCAAACGA